TGTCTACCAACCAACCAAACCCTCAAGGCAGAGGGTCGTGGGAAAGTGGCTCATGACTATTAATTTGCGAGCGGATAGTGTTCCGTTCCCAACTTTGAATCGGAAATGAACTTGCGTTGATAATTTGATACCAAGTGCGTGAATAATGGAGGTCTACATGTACATGCATATGTAAAAGCTTACACCATTACACATTGGGATTACATGTACATTTTTGAGGGGGGTATCTCTACATCATCATTTAATCATCACCATCATTATTTACAGCCATCATGTTAATCATCGTCCGTCAATATCATCATGAACATGTACATTGTAGGCCTACAGATGCACCAGGGGAACCCCTTAAAATATCCCTATATGTACATCCTATGGCCCTTAGGTAAGAAAATATATCACCCCAGACCATTCATGGAAAAACATTATATTGTGTCAAGAGTTTGTGCAGATTAGAAATTACTTCAGACTTCAGGGTAAGCATGCATAACTGTAAATCTATACTGACAAGGGCCTGGGTAAATATTGCAGGCTCTACAATGTATTTACCTATTAACTATAACTCCCTGGTTCAATGCAAAGACAGCAGGATTCTGGTGGCCATATGATGCCAAAGTAAAGGTTATTGTACTCCTCAACAAATTAGGCAATCGCAAAATCATTTACTGATATATGTATTTGCCTTTGCAAAATTTTCAAACTTTCACTTCTTTGTTTCTCTCATTTTTCAGTTTTTATTAAAAACCCACTTAATATCAGGGTGGACTTCCCCTTTAAAATATGCAGGTACAACAAGTAGAAGTGCCATTTTTAGGACTAAAAAGTGTGCCTACCCTGGGAAGAAAAATTAAATACTGATGTTTTTGTGTTGTTTTTGTGTTGTTTTGCCTACTGTACATTGTATGTGCCTATCAGCTCTGGCTTTCATAAGATGACTTACATACTGTATGACTTGTTTTTCATGAACAGAAGAGTAAAGATCTTGTCTACAATCCTACATAAAAAGGAATTAACAATACATCACAATCTAAAAATGAACTTTGGGCAGAGTAGAAGAGACCATGTACATGTATGAAATGATGACAAAAGGAAGTGATATATTTAGATTGGCTGGCTCACTGGGACACAGGAAGGAATTAGTTCCTTTATTCTTAGCACATGATGTCTTCCATATCATATCATATCATCTTATGTTATATGCTACAGTACAGTATGTGTACTGCATTGTTTAAATCTACCTGTAATTAATTTACAGTATGCTAGAGATACAGTTATCCAAAGACCAAGCATTTATCAACCACATTTGCATTGCTTGAACCATTATCAGAATTGTAAAAACACATTAGATGGAATTTGAAATAGATATCTGTTCCTTCTTGCGAATGGCGAGATTTCTTGGTGCTACATGTACATGTACATCAGGTGTAGTCTCACAATTTCTTAAAGTATTGTTTTCTGACAACCGTTGCATGTACATGTACATTGTACATGTTATATAATGAGGGGAATCAACACACATGTATCAGCCATCTGATTAGGCCTTCAAATTTAAACTTGTATAGAAAGTTATAATCATTTTTTCAATTTGTCTTAAACTTTGAATACCGGTATATACAAATATCCTGATGCAGCTCATGGTACATGTGTAGCTCTTTTCTGTTCCCTAGAGGGGGGGGGGGGGGGGGGAGGGAGGGAGGGGGGAGGGAGGGGGGAGGGAAGGGGAGGGAGGGGGGGGGGAGATGCCTTCACATACACTCTTGTATTATCTCAAGTACCAAAATACGTCTTCTTGATTTCTAGAGACCTTTCTGAATTTTCTGGAAGTGTAAACATTCCTTTCACCTCCGCACCAATTCTATGTACCTTTCTATCTTCTCTTTTTGTTATCTTTCTCTCTTTTGTCATGCACCAAATTCACAGCAACAATCAAATGTTTTTTTAGTATATTCAAGTCATTCATTTCTATTGTGTCCCAATGTGTTTTGAACGCACTTGAGAATAACAAATCATCTCCGCGAGATCTCTACATGAATGGATGTTCCTACAGGTACACCCACCATCCCGTACACTGTGGCTCTCAAACAGAGTACGTGTTCATAACAAGCCCCACGCTGCGTTTGACCCCAGACAAGCCACAGTACATCGATCCATTCACTGCCCCACGGATGCAATCGCAATCACCCCTTGGCGCTGGCTTTCATAATTGAGCAATTCGGTGATAATGTGTCGCGGCATACCCTGGTAATAATAGCGAGTATTCAATGGCCTAGATGGGACACGTATTGATGCTGGGTGTTCACAGCAGTGATGGAGGGAGGGCGAGAGAACTCCGAATGTGACTAATTTCTGTGCATGGTTGATTTCAAAAGTAATTGGATTATCTTGCCTAAAACCTTACCATCCATCATTAGATCAATGATTATTCTTTCTTTCCAGTATGAGAAGGGGTGCATTTCTATGAAACGGGTTTACATTGAATTCTACAATGAATAAAATGGTAGAGGTAAATATGGATAACAAATATCTTGTACCTTTTAAAACAGACTGATGATGTATGTTCACCAAAACTAATGAATTTACATGGGTTGACACATGCAAATATGAAGCATTTTCTGATATACAATCTGAAGCAGTAATCAACATAATTGCATGAATATGAAGATACAACTTCGGCTGCAAATCAATGGAATATTTGAGCCTGTTAGAGCCTTTGGCAGAACAACAGTTACGCCACGGTCGTATACTGATTGAGGACAAAATCAATACAGTTATAAGTGCATAACTTATAACAGCCCAAAGCAATTCACAATATATGTAAAGCCTCCATTATGCGAAGTCACTAATGTAAGTAACACAAAGTATTCAGGGAGTATGTACTTGTAGATTTCATTACTGTGGGCAAATAGCAAAAACTGTTTAACGTATCCGCCGTGAGAATGGGAAACCTTCTACTATGCAATGGTCAAGCAGAGAGAAACCAAAGAAAGAGTTTCAAACAAACATGCTAATTCCTCTTCGGCATTTTCATTCAAATCACTCCTGCATGGTAGAGAGGTTTGCAGGCTTTACTGTAAACACTGCGAAGTAGTACAAATCTATTGACTTTCAGGGTGATTTGACTGGGAGTTTGGTTGTACAAATCCAGTCGCTTGTAAACAACGAACCAACTCACAAACAATAGTTATTCTTTCAGTTATTTGGTAAAAGACAGGGGGGAGGGGGGAACAGAATTTCAACAACCTTTTGGTTCTTTTAAGGCAACCTAAACTGTATTATTATTGTATCCTACTCAAAAGTACAGGATTGGAAAGAAATTTTGGATGCATTGTAATTTGAGAATTAATATCTTGAATGATACATGTTTGATAATCAGGTCCTAATGTTGGGGTTTGAGCCTATTTAGTATTTACAGTTCAGAAATTATTTCAAACAAGAAAATATGATGAATTTCAAACACTTTGTGACTGTGTCTACAGTGTATATTTATCATTGATCACTACGACTTGATCAATACAATTTATAAGGCAAGCCAAATGTATATCATTTTGAAATCCAACCGGAATTGTCTCCCTTGTACAATGTCTATTACATCCCTAAAAATAAATGCACTTCTGACCTCGACTGCAGTCCCACCCTAACTAGTGTAGGAAAAAGGGGCGGGGCACACTGCATCCTCACTGATCTGCTATCAGACATTCCTACCAAATGATCCGTGTCACACCTACAAATGTACACTGTACTCTGATGACCCTGCCGTTAGAGGCTACAGCCAACCATTTACATGCATGACAAACTTCATCAGGATTTCTATGACTAGTCCCAGATGTTCAAAATTGTGTTAGTCTCAGAAATGGAGCATCACTATGAACTCTTAATCAAAAGACCGGGGCCCTGTCTCATAAAGAGTCGCAATTGTTCCAAATCAATCCCAAGTCCTCCAAATGATCCCAAGCTTGTAGTCTCCTATCTCTTATGTACATACATGTACCATAGTTGCGATTGATATCAATCATAAATAAGTTGTGATTAATATCAACTCTTTATAACTGTTGAATCGAGGAGCCTCTAGGCATCTGAAACCATCACTAACAATTAATTTATTTACTTTAGGTAAATTAAGGACATTAAAAGCATGACTAAGCCCTAAAATTTAAGCTAATGCAAGGCTGATAAATAACACATACTGTACACAGTCAACAGCCAGACTGCTGCCTCTTGTACTGTCTGCAAAACGTATTATGATTAGTCTATCAACATTCCCAGTTCCAATGTTGATATAAACGTCAAGCATTCCAGACTACTGAAATCCACTCTTGGAATGTGTGCTCTGGAATACGAAGCCAAATGTAATCAGAATGGAGGAATGGAGTACTGGTGGTGCATCGATTGGGCCTTGCAGAGCACTCCCAAGAAACTCAAGTTTCTTCCATTACTGACCCAGTGCCCTGTTCATATTGAAATGTCACCAGTAGTGCAACCCATCACACCTACATGTACACTGACAGTGCTTCTGTGCCTCTCTGTTCTACCTTTCAGTTTGATAGATGGGACTGTTCACACCTTAAAGATTGTCCGATGAAGTGAGCACTACTTCTCCTTATCTTTGAAGTATGAATAGGCTCCAGGATAGTAGAGGGGTGTAAAATGAGGTTGCAGATGCTCTCTGTCCAATATGAAAATACAATCTCAATATTCTTCACTAAAGCTATAAAAAATATTTAATAACACTGTTCAAAACATCTCCCCATTCAGCTTTTGCAGTCATTAACAGCTTGATTTGGGATAGCAAAAACATGCCACGCAGAGGTACGTATAAACGAATGGTATAAAATCTTTGCTGTACTTGGGTCCCTATTACTACGCAGAATGGAAAGGCAAAATTACAAGAAGCGACATCTACAGAATCACTATGATGCAATTAAGCTTCATGGCACATCTACATTTATAAGGAAGTAAGTTGTGTTCATTTCTGTAGAAAAAAATAAATTTCAATTTGCACTTACCGACTACCATGAGAGTGAACTCAAAGCCTCTCTTCACGGATCTCCTGTACACCTGGTTTGGAAGGTTGGCGAATCCAACATAACCCTCCATCTCTTTCGGTTTATTCTGTTTGAAAAAAAGAAGAAATAAAACTGCACCGATTACGAGTATACCTTGGAGTGCAACAGACAAGACATCCATACTGTCCAAACTCTAAAGTGAAAAGTGAGTCTGCCTCACAAAACTATCTACACTGTACATGAAGTTATATTTTTTTTTTCCATCCTAAATCAGAAATCCCAAGAAATTTGATCCTATCGATACTTCACATTTCAGTATTTCTGCATTTGCATACAATCAATGTGTAGGGAATATAAGAGGATGTTGCTAACTATAGTTCATGTTGATTTAAGGAGATAGAACAAGGAAATCTCTTGGGTGAAGCTCAGCCAACCTCTACATAAACATGAACATGGATGTAAGTAATTAAGCAGACCTTTTTTTGTATACATGACAAGGCCTACACCTGGAGGTAACCTTTAAATACTACATGTAATACAGTTGTATCTTTCAATATGGGAAACTTCAGAACAGGACCATTTACACAGCCCAAACACCTTTTTGAAAAATCATCTATTATTCGAAATGCTATTTTCACTACTGGAAAAACCCATTTAAAAAAAAGCTGGTGTTTGCTCATTCCGATTTTTGGGTGAGTAGTACATGTACATATACACTGTAGTATGCGGGATTGTCGCTGCTTATTCACCGATGTTTCGAGAGTGGGCATTTACACTGCAAAAATCTGTGAAATTTCTGCTTGCGTTTATAATAAGCATACTCCAGAGTCTGAATTTGTTTTTTGATTTTTGGTCTTGTTTGCTGAAAGTTGCTATGACGAAACATCAGAATGTGAGAAAATCACATTTTTGCTTGCAATGTAATGCAGCCACTGTTAAGTTGTCTGCAACACTGTGACTGAGGATTATATTTTTGTTTGCCTTGCTGAACTATCAAAATCTTCCCTTTTTACCTATTTTTTTTGTCCTCGGACCCAGGGCAAATTGCTCTGTTCATTAACATTTATTAATGTACAAGTCCAAACAAACATGTACAGTACATGTAGATAACAATTTCTCGGAAATAAATATAGTGGGCATACTGTCTGTACATGTACATGCATGTAGATGGCAATAACATATTTTTGCAGGTTTGTGCTTATGTACCAGCATTTTAAATCTGCACTTCAACCTTACTTGTATTTTTAGATCACATAATTTTTACAAGGAAATACACGTTCATGTACATGTAGGCCTACAATCATGGATCCCACAATGAAAAGGAGTTGTGATCAGATAGCTAAATATGGATCCTGAAACAAATCAATGCCTGCTGTAGGACCCCATTCACACTCACCGTTAGACCGCTCTAGTGTAGACTAGTCCAGGAAGTGAGTAAGAATGGGGTCTATTAAAGTGTTTTGAGTCTCGTGAGATTGGTATAACCGTTGATTGCTGCTTCACTTTCACAAAGTCATGAAAGATCATGTCGTGTACAAAAAAACTTTCCCATGAGTACAATGTACATTGTACATATAGGCCTATACACTGACCCTCAACCGCCTTAGTGTTTCACAAGCTCATATCAGTAATACCGGTAGTCATTTAGAAACCATATATTTGTAGTACTGTACATGAACATGCAGGAATATACAAAAACAATACATTGCACTTCCTTTTTTAATGCATAGGCGAGATCAATTATCAATTGATGCAATGATTGGGTTTTCAACCTTTTCTTTCCCCGTCTTTTATTCAGTTTTCTTAAAGTGAAATCCAACCTTAGTATTATTGGCTTGATTTATTTAAAACTGTCGTCATTCTGTTTCTCTTATTTTTCTGCCTTCACACCACTGAAGTTATTACAAGGCTTGGATTGCCCTTTAAGCTTTTTTTATGATAGTTCACCTCTTTATTAGTCTTAAGAGTTTGTATACTTGTTTACATGTCAATCATCACAAGGTTTGTTTCAGTTTGCATCTGAAATGCTTTAAACATGAAATACAAACATCTCTTCTTAAGCCCAAACCCTAAACTCAGACTGTATACAGCAACTTCTAAACGTTGCATTCGAAAAAGGTGTAGCACCAACATGCAAAACCTTGATGGGACAGGACTTCCCGCCCGAACGTCCGTCCGAGACAGGACTTACGGATAAATCCTGGGATATTTATAATCTTGGTCAGAAATCAAATACTTCCTCTAGCTGGATGAGATCTAGATCATCCCTGATCCACATCCCAAATCCTAATCCACCAGGATCTGGATGTTCCACATATCCTTGGTATTACATCCTGAATATTATTTAAAGGTATACTGCATCATTGGTATAACGTATTTGGTAACATAAATTTGCAGTGTACATGGATTGCTCTGTTGATCTGTTCTGTTCTCTATCATATTCACAGAATGAATGCAAATTTTGTAGAACATGCCAAACTGTAGACACACAAATCAACATTAAATACATAATACATCAAAGTACAGCTACAGTACATGTAGTCATCCATTATCCAATAAGTACCACTTTCCAAACATTATTTTCATTATCTAGATATATGATTATTGTTGACCTCTTGTCACAAAATTTTCCTTAGTTATTATCCATTTTCAACATACCGTATTTGCCGGTGTAAAGGCCGCACCGCCGTATAGGCCGCACCCCCAACTTTGACATTTCGTAGAGGAAAAAAAAAAACTACAACAAAAAAAAAAAAAAAAAAAAAAAAGAGAAAAAAAACGGACCAAACAAAATGATCGTAATTTTCTTGTAGAACACTCCTTTTTTTTTTTACAAACTATACCAAATTCATCAATATTCCTATAAATCAACAAGAAGTTAACCTCAAAAATGATCATAATTTAGCAGATCTTCATCGACTTTTAAGCTAGTACTGTATCGTACGCAGATTTGGTATCCTACAATACCCCTTCCTCGATGTGCGGTGTAATCCGAAATAGCATTTTTCGACCTGCGCAGTTGCGTTGCGCGGCAGCTAGCTCCGTAAGTAACGGCCTGTCCCTTTGTTTACTTTTTGGCGATGCAATGGTATGGACTTAGATCTAGATCTATCGGCAGTTTTTTTCGTCTTCGTCTTCATGTCAACTATGCAACATAAACTTGTCGGTAAGTTGTGTGGAGTTATTCTAGAATTGTCCTGTACCGTTGTCTAGTCATGCTACCGTTCCTATAGTCCCATACGTGCAAATGGACGCGATGTTTTGACCGCTGAATTTTGTTGTTGTTGCGTATACGCCGCACCCCGACTTTTTGATTTTTTCTCACCCAAAAATACTGCGGCCTTTACGCTGGAAAATACGGTACTGCACATGTACATGTGCAGGCCTACATAGATTGTAGGACCTACATCAGACTGAAAGCAGTGATGATTTCATCATAATGTGCACATTCGGCACCTGTTTTTCATTAGATTCCTGTAATCTACATTTGGCAAGAATGAAACATTTTATTATGTAAAACCAAATAACAGCCTCTAGACCACATCCATTTGGCATGGATTCCTCAAAACAGAGATGTTATTTTCCAAGGAAGATTATTAATCATAAATTAAAAACATCTTGAACATGTACACATGGAGCATTCACAAAACAAATCCCTACCGTGTACTAAAGTGTATATCATGTGTGCTTCCAGCTATGGTTTCTCCTTTTTTCAGTCAATTCTCAACTACTCACAGAGTAATTTCTCCAATGCCCTTCATGATGTTACTTTTGTTTTGTACATGTATGTTGGTTTGCTTATTTTTTTCAAATGTTTTTTAAATGTTTTATGTGTGGGTTTTCTGCTTTGTTTTCTCCATTTTTTAGAAAGATAGTTTGAATGCAACTGTACCATCAAAATAGGACAAGAACACTTTCATACTTCATTGTTGCTATGAGTAAAAAGTGATACAACGAAATATTAATTAATAATACAAAGATTTCAAGATTAAACTCTGTTTCTTGTTTGCTGTGAATAGAAGTAATTAAATGAGAGTTCAACAAAAGTTATTACCGGTACTGTATGGTTTTAATTAAGTTAGTTTTAATAGCATGACTAAACCAATTGGTTCAATATTGGGTTAGCAAATACGAGTTCAAGAACAGTCATTCTCTGGTATGTAATTTAACCACAACCTTGTATTGTACTTGGATGTCCATGTACATTCATACAAAATATTTGCCCATTAGCAGAGTACGGTATGAGACTACAGTACAGAATGAGTCACCAATGATTGTACGCTCCAATCATGTGAAGCATGAACTGTGTACAACTCTACATGTACATTATGTGTGTCTCCGCACAATTACAAGATAAAGTGGAGTTCTGAACTCCTGGTCATGTTATTTTGATGTGAAAGACATTGTCTGGGAGCAATTGGAAAATGTTGATCATGTAACACATAAAGATTGGTGTACATGAGGTTCTAGAATCTATATTTTTTTTTAAATCCCATATATGGGATAACACAAACATGTGGCATGAGGTTGTGGTCCATAACCTCTAGCTACATGTATTATGTGTCATAGGTCAAATATGAGGACATTTGAAAAGCCATCCTTTTCAAAGACTTTTTTATACTCTTTAACATAAAAGAATTAAAAAGCTCACAAACTTTCCAATATTAAACTCAACCTTCTCTTTAAATGCAACATGACAAATGTTTGTACATGTAGTTGCATTGTTTTGTAAGAAGTAACTTCTACAGCTAAAACTGTACACTTTATCAGCACTCAGCACGATATACATGGACATGTACAGTACAGGTACATGTATATCAATTTAAAACTTACACTAAGTTTTGAATGTAATCAAAGATAAAGAGAACTGTATGTCCTGCACCCTTTATATACAAAATAGACTTTGCATTTCCTTGTACAGAGCAGAAGCCTACTATTTCATGAATAATAAGCACAGAATTTGTTGCTGGTTCCGCGAACCAACGTACAGGTACAGGTATCTGCGGTTATCAAGCATGTATGCTTACCTGTACATCTGTCTGCGTAAACAGCGCCAAATTGTGTACTCGAAGAAATTTTATTAGTTCAGTGATAAAGAATGCTAGACTTTTTTTTTTAACTGTTGTGAAAAATTCTTTGCTTTAAAATAAGACAATTAGAAATTGCATAGCATATTAGCAGTCAGCAATTCAACTGAAACTAAACTTTACACCACAAACTATTTCAAGTGAAGACAATCTGCAATATTCTCTTTACATTTTTTGTTACAACTGAAAGAAAGATTTTAAACTTTTTCATCTATCAAAATACTTTTTAATTTGACTTACCGCTGCACCGGTGTAAGCAGGCATGGTGACGCATCCAAAGCGCAATGAGAGGAGCAAGATGAGAGGTTAAATCCACATAAGAACCAGAGTAGGTCCCAAGATACCGTTCAGGATGCACGCAGCAGATGATGATCGAAAGAGAGAGAAAAATTCAAATTATCAATTCATGTAAAAGTTTTTACAACAAGAGGCTTTCTGGCAGAAATCAACATGTGAGCAAGGTTCCAGTCAAACTACATGTGTATGAACAAAAAGGCCTGGTAATGAAGTGTATTGTCATTTGTCAATCCCTAAGAAAAGGATGGTTGCATTTGAGTAAGTCCGCACATATAAGCAGTAAAGTTGTTCGCATCAAGACTACCCGAAACCAACTGAACGAGTGAGGATGAATGGCTAGAAGTGAAGTGGATTTAGTGAAGACACGCTTGCATGCAGTGCAAACGATCAATGGGCTGAGTGAGCTGAGTGAGTGAGAGAGAGCTTTGTACTAGTACATATGCAGCTACTCAGTTTCCTGCACAACTCACAGACCGGAGCTGAAGTCAGGAAGTCAGGGTAGCGTGAAGTGCTACCCACCCACAGTGACAACAGGCCAGGCTCACACCCACAGAGGTGGGCGGGGCACCGTTATTATACCACTATGCATTCTTTCATTTAAAAGGGTCCACTACAGTTACCTACTTTTGTTTGCTTATAACTGTGCTAAATGTAGTTTGCATGCATTAACCCTTGTCAATCATATCCTATTAAAGATGGTCTGAAATATGAGACTATAGAGACTACAATCCATGTGTCCTATATTTATTTGATACAGCCACAGACTGACAAAGTTAGACTGACCTGTGTACTTTAATTGTCAAAATAAAGTGTGTGCCGTGGCCTACATGTACACTGTACATGTAGATTAGGCCATTATTATTATTATTATAGAAAGCTGAAATTGGTAGACTACATAATATAAAGTACTTGGTTTTTTTCTAGTTGTGATCTGAAACAAATTTTTGTGGTTAGGACATAGAGTGCCATAGCGGGGTTTCAGTCATGGAAACTACTGTACAAACTGCACACTTCTACAATGTGTGTATAATGTACATACAATATGTCCTAAGAAAGAGAATCTGAACCACATTTCCTTTATTTGACCTATTACACAGTGGATGTGTAAAATTTTGCATTGTAACATTGCATAAATCCTTCACATACATGTACATACCAAAGCCACCAAACTTATCAACACAGAACATCAACTTCAAAACATAGTATGTAAATCAATGCTTTAACTCATTCCCATTGGAATAAATTTGACAGTGTTTTTTTTTCTGTCGCTCTTCCTACCCCCCCCCCCCCCCCCTCCCCCACTTTCCAGCCAAACCCTTGTCGGTAATACCAGCATTACATGGACATTCTTTTTTCTTCATCATCATCATTTGTACTTGTAGGGGCTCTTAATAGAATGTGAAGACCGGGAATGTACAGTGTACATGATATCTCATTCTCAGCTCCATCTCTATATTCACTTTCACAAGACTGCAGAGAAGGGGTTGAAAGAGCGGGTATAAAAAACGGGCCTGTGATTTAAGACCCTTTAAGCCAGCTTTTGTGTGTACCAACCAGGCATTTTAAAGAAAGGGGGGCTCTGTGTAAGAATACCCAAAAGGGATTTTGCGGTAGACACTGAGAGAGAGAGCACAATAGCCCAGTGAATTCCCAATCCTGTAATAGCCAACAGATATACTGTATATGGCTTTCTGGGCAGATAGTAAAGGGATACAGTCACTGAGTGAACTTCCATTCATCTTCAGTGAAATCAGATTTTATAGATTATGCTGTAGCTCCTACTCACTACTATACTATAGTGTAGCTACTGCTAAGAGATGGGGGGGGGGGAGCAATTTACTTTAGGGAGGGGCAATAAGTATTTGACATTTCTTATGACTTTGAAGATATGAAACTGACTGACTGGGTATAGTATCTACAGTGTGGAGTTGGGGTAGGAAGTTGAGGGCAATAGCAGTTGAATGAGAGGGAGGTTTATTTATTTTGGGAAGGGGCAATAAAACTGCTATCATTTCAATTGCAATCTGAAGAAGGAAAGTGAAAGTAAAGAGAGATATATCCCATTGCCTCACTTCTTCAGAGTAGGCCTGTTTTCATCAGCTCGAGTTTGCCGAATAACCTGCTATTTTAACTATCCCGATTGCAAATTGGCAAGTTAATTTGCATCTTCATCAGTCCGCAGTTGCAATTAGCAGGAAATTTGGTCGTGAAATTATCTTGAGAAATCTTGGTCTTGATTAAAAAATATCCCACTATTTGGGATGAGCATATCGGTCTGGTGAAGTCGCAATTTTGAAAATAGCGGTTATTTGGCAAACTCGAGCTGATGAAAACAGGCCTAGTGTTGTCTTATAATTCTAAAAGTTTGGGCTACTAGTCTGAATCAATCTTCAACTGATATTCAACTTGTATTTCCTGAAATCTAAACCCCTGGCATTTGAAAGAACAATGTTAATGACCCTTTCATTGTTATAGTTATTCACAAGAGCTTTTTTGATTTTGGATTTGCATTTTGTAAATACTGTAAGTGCTCTTCTCGATCAAAATTGTGTCTTAATTTTAACAGAGCTTGAAGTTTTGTTTTTGAGAACTATTAAAGTGCTTTAAATTGCTCACAGTTTGTCTGTAATTATTTTTCTTACTGTAAACTTAGAGGGGCCATACATCTTCTAATTTCGAGATGGGCTTTACCAGCACAAATGTATATTTCTGAGGTATTATTTACATGTACCGTAGTTTCTATTCGCATTTCCAAGACTCTTGTGAAACCAAATGAAAGGAAAAGAAATCACGCTACTTTATATCAAGTTCAAGTATTGTCATTTTTTGTAGAGTGAGCTAACCATATTTATGCACAGTATGTTATTGCATTTCAAGGAAGTGAGAAAGATATATGCATATACATGTATGTGTGATTCATTTTTGTTGTATCTTTGAAGTAGACTTCATGACATGTACATCAACCGTTCTAGATTGCAGTGTAAAAAATACCCATGAAAAAGTTACACAATATTTACTTTGAGGTCTGGCACAACTATAAAATTAGTTTTTTGCACAAACTGAATTGGGCAGCATCACTAGATGTCTTAAATATTAAAAAATGAGGACAATCTCACAACTACATGTATGTTAGATGAGTATATTTGACAATATAGGGCCTACGGCATACAGTACTTGCAGAGCTACTCTATAAATTGACAATCTATATCTAAGAACGTGTTTAAAAATAAAATTGTGACTTGTTCCCCTACTTACATGTATGCTTTCTCCAATTTAAAAATGATTTTGATTCAATAAGAAAACCTTGGACTATCCGGCCTGCATGCAGGCCTACAGTAGCCCCCTCTTAGTATGTGACACCTATACAAAAATATTTCATCATGTACATGTACATCTCTGAATGTTCTCAATCATCCAGTGGTAGATCAATATCATCAAATGTACAAACAACTTTTTAAAAACAAGTCAATGTCAACTTGACTTACTCTATTTTAGCTTGCAATATTTCACCTACATGTACAAGTCCAGTTGACTTGTTCATAACGTTTGATGGTGTCTCACCATGTGATATTTCATACCTGTACAGTGCATTATGATTACATTCATGAATATTTTTAACAGTTCAGAAGGGCCTTCCCTTTTTTCAATAATGCCTGTGATACCAGAGGTCACGATGCACTTTTCTCTTTTGATAGCTGTCTAGAAGAGATTACTGTTTATAGGAAGCAATCTGTTCTACTCATGTCCACTCTGATGCCTGTCACCCATACTGTAGGGATGCATTCCAATACAATAATATCCAAAAAGTACACATACAGTGTACCTGGTAGAGGCCACTAATGTACAACCAGGAACTTTTATATGCAAGAAATGTTTGTAAACTTCTCACGTAATTAAGAGTTGTGATACTGCAACAAAAAGAAGAATTACAATGGAAAAAACACTTCACAATTTAAGTTTAATAGCGTAAAGGTGGCTGTCGTATGTATGACAGTATCTGGCATTAAAGTACTGGTACCTAACTAATTTTAAATATTCATGGATGTTTAAGATGACAAAATTAAATTGCTCTGCAAGGTAATCGATCCAGTACTAGTAGCGATCCTATGAATAACGAATGTGAGCATGTGTTTATGACATTGGTTATGAATGCATAATGAGCATTCGATACAGAGCTCTTTAGCTATCTTCACATGCTCACGATCACGCAACTATAAGCAGCAAGTGAAAGCAGCATGTTTGGTCTAAGACTGAGAGCAGCTATTGAGCTCATTGCCGCTAGCTGTCATGCCACTTCTCTCAAAGATGTACTGTACATGTACAGGCTGTCGTGAAAAAGGGAAGACACAACTCAAATATTTGTGTACATACATCAAGAATAAAAAGAATCCCAAGAGCTATGAAATGGTGAACAAGATATCATTATAAACACTTGCAAGCTGATACGAGGGTAGGTTTGTTCTCCTCACTTTGCTCTGAGAAGAAAAGGAGGGTCACAGGTCAGTGTTCTTATAGACTTAACCATCCTGTAAACTTTTTTTAACGGGATCCCAATTGTACCTGTCCCTGATATTGCTAACGGTCTAATGATTCAAATCGTCAAAGCCAAAGTTTGCAAATGCTGATTGAGAGTACTTGAAAAAACATTATACATGTAAATAACTACCATGGCAACCAAAAATTCAGGTCGTGAAATTCAGGTCACAAAATGTCCGTACCCTATTCTTTCTGCCATTCTGGTACATGTATGTAAAATTCTTTTAATAAAACTGACATTAAGGATGCCGAAAAAATTGTAACGAATAGAGAGTTTGACTGAAATATCATGATTTTGGTATCGGATCAAACAGAAAATCGCAAGCTTTGTCTCGCACCAATATCTTATAACATTGAGCGAATGGAAGCCAGCTATAGCAAATAAGAAGGGCCCTTGTCGGCACCAATTTAGGAAAATGAGGCTGCAATTCGCTGAGATCGGATAAACGTTATGCACATGCATGCGCAAAATGTAAGCTAAAGTTCTATGTGTCCTCATGAAAAAAAATGTGCCAAGTTTGTTGGCAAAACAACATTGCATTCAAGCAGCAATACGCAGGCTACTTCCCAACATTATGACATGTACCAGTGACAGTGATGTTCATGGAAACTAACGTTTAATTTGCCGTGCTCATCATTGACAAAGTTTGCAAGCCAGCACAACCATAGGGTATACGCTTACGTAAAACAACGTCTAATTCAGAAATTTAGACAGGCTTTGCGCACAAATCATACATTAACTTGTAAAAGTATGAAACTACATGTATGATGTGGGAGGGGCAGTGGGAGGGGCAGGGGGAGGGGAGGGGCGGGGTTGTGTGTTTGGAAGCTGAACAAAAATAAAGCCACCACTTTTGCCTTCGATTTAACAAATTGTAGATCTATGCATAATAAATAGCAATAACAAAATATTCATCCATCATAGAATCTAGATCTAGGGTCTAGATCTAGAGATCTAGGCCCGTATTCTGAAGTCAGGTCTAACTTTAAACCTAGGTTTAAGTCTAGTCTAAGCCTCGCCTAACTCTTAGATTTAAACCTAGGTTTAATTTTGCGTTTCTGAAGTCAGGTTTAACTTAAACCTAGGTTTAA